AGTTATTGGGTCGGAGCTTCCTTTCTTCACTTTGTGCCAACCTTCTGTAGAAATCTATAATACCCACTCGCAAAAGAAAGGGTGCTTGAGGTATAACAAAGGTTTATTTTCTGCTGTTTCCTGACTGCCTGCTACTGTTTGTGGCCACAAAAGTTATGAAAATATCAGACACGCACACAGATACAGATACAGAGCCGTGGCAGCAGCAGTAGCAGCAGCAGCGCCCAAAAGTCTGCATTTATTAAACTGTTATAAGGCCAGCAAATCCAAGACAGCATCACAGCAACTGTGCTACCATTTGGGCCAGAGCGCATGACCAAAGAGAAAGCCAGAGGTGGGATTAAGAGAGAGAGAGGTCGGACAGGGCGGATGCACTGGCAGCCTGAAGCGACAACAGCAGCAGTAGCAGCAGCAGCAGGGGCACAAAGACCAAAAGTTTAGGCCAAAAAACGTAACAGCGGCCTGACCTTCACCATTACCGCAGCGGCACTCTTTTTCCTTTTTTTTTATCCCGAGAGCAGCTGGGAAAAAAATGATTTGCCTGTGTGTGTGTGTGTGTGTGTTGGCCTCAGCTTTTGTTTGGCTTAAATGCTTTTACGCTAAATGGAGCAGCAGAAGCCGCAGCAGCAGCAGCAGCCGAGCGTGGCACGGCCACCACGTCATTGACGGCATTGATACGCGGAAGTTGGTCCCACGCGGCGTATACTCAATGTGCACGTGCATGGCTGGCTAGTAGAGTGTGCGTGTGTGTGGTAGTAGATGGGGTGGTAAAACGTCTAATGAGTTTGTTAACCCTGGGAATCCTGGGAATATGGTTACTTTGGCAAATAAAAGGGCAGATCTTGCAGTATAGAAAAATGTAATCCAAAAAATCCAGCTAAAAGGGAACCAAATTCAGGCACTACTATCATATTCTTCATTGAAATAACTTAACAGGGAAACTACTTTCAGTTGAGAGAGTACACAGCCAGACCCTGACTATAAGCCAGCACATTCAAATAAAATTTCCCACTCGTGCACAAATCATTTGCATACAATCGATTCCAAATTTCAGCATTCTTCTGTGTGTGTGTGTTCATGTGGCAAGCCATTTATGCGACATTTACGATGTGTTTTGGCCGCACTGGAAATATGCTGAACATGATTGATGATTCGTCTGATTGAATTCGCTGGCACTGAAGTGTTTGATGGATTGTTGTCTGTGGCAAGAGCAGCATCCGGAGCAGTAGAAATGCTGTCAGCAGGTTGCCACGGCGAAAATATGTACGTACGAGTATATACCCCGAGAAAAAACAAAAACATTTAAGCGGATTTCCAGCAAACCGAAACAAAGGACTTCCTCTTGTTTTGTTTTGTTTTTGCCATGTGGTCTGCGTGTGCGGAAAAATTGAGCTGCTTTTTTTTTATTGTTCATGGCACAAGGAATTTAAGTAGAAAATGCTTCTCCATTCCCGGTTCTTCTGCACCATGAAAAAACGACAAAAGCATTTAATCAACTTTATGTGAAATAAATTATATATGTACGTATATTCCTGGGGCTTAGGGAAATGCCATTAGCATTATTAGAAGTCAAACGAAAATGGGTAGGCAGCCAGTCAAAGAAGTCAATGAGATTAAGATGGATGATGCAGAAAAATGCCAAGAGGCTGGGCCATAACATGGAATATTATGAGCGGGCACAGAAAGGATCCAAAAAAGAAAAAAATGTTGTGAAAAGGGTTCTCCAAAGGCTACTTCGAAATTCTAGGAATTTTTAATGAATTCAACATCAGCTTGTGGCTGGCCCCGAAAAAAATAACAATAAATAAACATTTTCGATGTCCTTTCAGTTCATCATTTTTTGGGTTGATGATCTTTTGGAGGAGAAAAAATGATTTAATATAATGAGGGATTTTCGTTTCTTTTTAATGGTTCAAATTAAAAATGAAAATGTTTCCAAAAGGAGTTAAAAAATATTCACAAATCTGAGATAAAAATAGAAATACTCAAGGAAACAATTTTGCATGCTACATAAATTCACAATATTACAGCCATTTAATGTTCAACATCCCATCTCCTTTTTTGAGTTTACAACAAAATCTCAGCAACATTTCATTGCTTTTTTGGTGCACATAAAATATTCAGTTTTCTTGTTTATGGAAATTTTGCCATTCAACTTTTGTACAAATGGTTCTGTGAGCAATCACACAGCACACATCACAGCACATCCCATCATGTTGTACGAGTGTATTGTCCGAAATATATTTTACAAGTCATGTGCGAAAATATGCTGCACCCCCCAAAAAGCAGTCAGGGAAAGCGACAAAGCATATTCTTAAACCAAAAAAAAAAAAAAAACCATCAGAAATGTACTAGTCCGAGTATGTAAATAACTGCAAGTGGAGCTGTTGAAAAATAGTTTACCATAAAGTTTTTCGCCTATTTTCCCCACATTCGGGGGAATTTTCTAAGTAATTGCTGTTTATGTGAAATTATTTGTGCAAGTTTTTCACATCCTATACATGCGATTATGTGGGTATATAGTACACATACTTTTGTGTGCGATTGTGTGCATCACGTACACCACGCCCGCCTTGATTTATGGCGCACAATTTTTCAAAAGCTCGTTGTCAAAAAGAAGAAAATGCTAAAAAAAAAATAAAATAAAAAACGAAACCAAACTTTTCGCAGGGTCAAAAATAAAGAGAACGAGCAAAACTTTTCTTTGGAATGCCATTTGTTCATTGTCCTATTGTTGTTGCTCATTTGGGTATGGGATTCAGTGGTTCCCGGGGCGGTTGTGGGTGGCTGGTGTTTCAGGTGGTTGATTGTATTGGCTGCTACCATGGCTTTTCCCTAGTTTTTTGCCTTACATTTTCACAATTTTTCTTCTTTTACTTTGACAGTTTTATTTTGGGCCATGAATAACGCAGGTGAATGCATTCGCTTGGCTGTTTAATTGTCATTTCTTTTTGCTGGTTGACAATTCACGGTTGTATTTGCTCTTCTCCGAGGAGTGACCAAAAGAGTGCAGAAAATACGTTACAAAAACTGAACTAATGTTATAGATTCACTGGTCAAAAGCGCAAGTTAACCCTGATACTCGTACTCACAGAAATACCATCAGAATATTATGTTTAAGTAGAAGGTATCAAAGTTTCGTATTAGAAATGAGAAAAGAGAACAAAAATCTCATTGGTGCCGAAAGAGCAAGAAAATATGAGTATCTGTATTCTTGCGGGTGGAAATATCGGTGGAATATCAATGTAAATGAGAATTATCATTACAGTTAATGCCATGCCATTGTTTTGGAACCAACTGTAATCCAACAATCGATTCGGTTTTAATGGAATTAACTGCGTCAGGGCATCAATCTGTGTAACCTATCGACCCATATAAGGATATAAATACCTGCAAAGCAAAGAGTTTATCTGCAGCTGTTGGCAAATATTTATTTGCAGCTTAAAGTTAGCAAATAAACCAGCCGTTGATTGACTGATTAAAAGTGCTCAAAGCGGGCCAAAGGGAAAAGGCAAAGCGGTTACGTTCGAGTGGGTAGATCAGGGCTGAAGTGCTATAATTTCTAAGGGATATTTTTGTTGCTGATGAGCCCGAGGAGTTGGCAAACAACACACAAATGTTGCCATGCCACGAAGTGCCTCAAGTGCGGACCAACCCAGCAGACTCATGTTCCTTCTGCCCCACTTGCTATCCTCACTTAGTCGCCTGACTTGCACTCCCCTTACTGGCCCACCCCTACACTTATTCCCCTACTTGCTACCGTCGCTCTCAGCTTCTTGCAACTGCTATTGCCCCATCTCATCATTTATCCCATCCCATCTTTCGGGGGCAGGAGGATGATGACGGAAGTCTCAAAGTGACAGACAATTTTTGCGTTAACAAGAATAACAGCAAAAGTGAGGTAGAAGCCGGAGCCGAAAGCAATGGAAACTTTAGCCACATGTGTGTAAATATTTTTTGTATGTGTGCCACCATCCACCATCTCCCCGCTCCACCCTCTCCCTTAGTTAGCAAGCATCGTAATGATGGGAGGGGGGTGTGTAGGGACATGGCGCCTGGCTCCTGGCTCCCAACTGCTGCAATCCTGGCTCCCAGCTCCATTTTCCCTCATCATCAGGAGGCGGCGGCTCATCGTCCGCTTAGCTTCCTCTGCCACGCTTTGTTGGCTGCTACAATTTTACAATTGACTGTTTCTGCCCCAAAGGGGCGGGGCGGGGTGGCGGCAGAGAGAAATACCCACCCAAAGGTGTGGAAGGAGGGAGCTCAGGAGGGGAACGAAGCTGATGAGAAATGGGAGTGTTCGTAAAACGCTTGACTTGTTTTACGCATTATTTACTTACGTTGGGATGCTGCCACATGCCACATGCCCCCCATCTACGTGTGCACGTGTCTCTGCCAGTGTGTGTGTGTGTGTGTATCTGTGTGCTTTAATGGGGGAATAGGGATGGGGCTAGGACTAGGGGCGTGGCAAATGAGCTAGCTTGAAACTAAGTTTTTGTGGCAGGCAGCAAAACGTTTGCTTCCAATTAATTGTGTACTCTGTGGATGGCTATGAATGAATGAATTAGTGGGTAAGGAAAATGCTGATGGGGGTGGAGGGTGGTTACCTCTCGGTACCGGCACCCCCTAATGGGTTGGGGGTTAATGGGGTTTTATTTTGCATCCCTGTACAGATCAGAGCAAAATTAAAGATAAAATTAAATGGAAATTCCCTGTAAGACAATATACACAAGAATTTATACAATAACAGCGAAAGTAGGCCATTAAAAAAAACGCCCAAATATCAAATCAAATCAAAAAAGAAAATGATCTACCTTTACCCTTGGAGATGCCATAAAGACAGCCAGAAATGGACCATAAAAAATGTTTGAAATGTGACAAGATATCGTCGTTGAGGAATGAGCACGGAAATCAGAAACATTTACATATTCAAATGGCTTGAAATGTTTAATGTTGTTTGATCGCTGCATAAAAATTCAAAAAATTACTTGGTCACTTACCTGATCGGTTCTTGTGTAGAGTTGCGTGTAAGCTCTATGGAGAATCCTTGTCTAGGCTTGTTTAGGAATATTCCAGAGTAAACACACAGAGTAAAAACACAGACACTCAAATGGTAGCCACACGCAAGATGCTAAATGACAGCCGGCTTATGCAACATTTATTTGATATTGTATTAAATATTTAACGCACGGCACGATAAAACACTTTTGCCTCATTAATCTACAGAAAGAGATAGACAGAGAGAGAGATAGAGAGTGAGAAAGACCGGAAGCGGAAGCTGCTAATGAAGCCGGCACAACGACACCAAACTGTGGGGGCGGGTGGAGGGTAAGCTCCCAGCCTAAACACACACACCGCACACAAATACAAATGCAGGATACGAAGGCACCAAGCCGTTAGTTGATTAATATGGAAAGGCTCAAAATAAATTTGCGGTTTTTCTGTTTAGAGTGGGGGTCTAAAAAACCTTACGCGACGACAGCACTGTTGGCAGAACTCGGCGCAAAATTCGACACTAACTCTGTTGTTGTCTTGTCCGCGTCCGAAATTTGTGTGAGATACATTTAGGCGTTGATGGAAAATGCAGAACAGCAACAGCCCGAGCGAGCTTCGGGCTTGTAAGCTCGGCTATATAACACTTTGGCTGTGTATAACAGAGCGTAAGGCATAGAGCGCTTGGCTTAGTGCGTGCGGTGAGAGAATGAACAAGAGAGAACGGGAGAGAGCGAGATGGTATGTGAGCAGGTAGAGGGTTGAGTTCGAGATTACCTGCCGATAGGCGAAATAAAACTGCGTTAATGGATGGCAGCGCTGCGACCTTGATGCTCCTTCTTTCATCAGCATAAACTTGGCCCAACTACCAAAAACATATGTGTTATGGCCCAAGAAGGAAAAACCGCAAATCAGTTCCGCCAATTTCCTTTTATTGGAGCTGTCATTGGAGCACAGAACTTTATGGATACTCTGCGCCGCCTCATAGCTCACAACGATGATGATTATGATTATTAAGCCACACAGCTCGTTTTGTGGGTGTGTGTGTGTGTGGGTGAAATGGTCACATAATTAGGCCATTAAATGTACAAGTAAAGTGCCTACGCCTTAGATATCCATTCAGCCATTCAGCCCTCCCCCACCACCCAACAACAAATCAAAGAAGATGATAAACAAATTTCACTCTTGACAACCAGAATCCCAGGGCCATTTTAAATGGAGATGGCCATCGCCATAAGGAAAATAATTTCAGACACAACTTTTCTTTGGCGGAAAACGTAATTGAATTTTTATTGACATTTCTAGGGGACCGAATCGAGGGAGGGAGATGAATGGCAGAGTTGCCTGAAAATAAAGCGCGCAACTATTTTGCAGAAATGGCCAAGACAGACAGCCAGCCAGCCAGCCAGCACACTGGAATGGGCCAGTAAAAGCTGGCAAGGAGTAAGAGAGGGAAAAAATGAACGAAACAAACCAAAAACTTGAGAAAATCCCAGGGAAATGAGAATACTGGATTTTAATTTGGTTTCTTTTCTTAAGAGGTTTTCCAAATGGTCTTGTGGCGTGGGGTTGTTTATGTGTGGGGGACCAGGAATAGCTCTAAATGGAGGGAGGATACGAATGGGAATTTAAGCAGCTTAAGCTGCAAGTTTTACCCCCAAATGATCTCTCTGCTTAATCAGGTTTTTTTTAATGGGGGAATTTGGTTAATTATACTCGTACTTACATTGGGCAGTTTCCTTCAATATCGAATTGTGTAAATGGATGCAGCCGCAAGGTAGGAACAGTCTTTCGTGGAGGGATAAGTAAAAACTAAGAGAATGAATTTTGATTGTGGGAGGAGGTGATGATGAAAGCGGTGTGCGATTTATTTTCACTTTATAATATCTACTATTCAGTTCTGTTTGGTTCACATTAGGGGTAAGAGTATTAATATCGGAATGCTATATTTGTTCTCGTTATAATGTGTAAATTTCTCTGCTGTTTACGTTGCAGGGCCACGGGAACTGTGAGAGAGATTCATTATGTCTATACTAATATTCCCGAATATACTTTAAGTACCTCCTACAATACCTTAGCTGCGGCTTGGACTTTTAATTTGTGTGCTCTCTGCACTCTCTCTCGCTTTCTCATTATGTGGGTGTATCTCTCATATGTCTCATTATGTGGGTGCATATGAGATATGTCTAATTGCTCTATCGTCCTGATACCTTGCCCTTCCACTACCAATTAAAGCAGGACCGGACCTGGGCCAACACTTTGTCATGGGCTGGCTATCTGCCCCTCCCGGTAATATGTGCAACTATTATCATTTACAGTCACCCGCTTTATGGCCCCCCAAACGTTTTGCTCATTGCCCGGAGATGCCCTCAGCCCTCACACTCAACGCAGTGCTGAACCACAGAAGCACTTTCCCTGGCTGGTCATTAAATTATTTTATATGGCACATTAAAAGCACATACACAAACACACACAAAAACACACCAACAGATACTTGTATATTCACGTGGAAATGCATTTGCTGTGCAGGGTCAAAGGCCAACCGAGTGTGGGCAGGACTCTGCTGTGGCAGCGTCTATCTGCTATTATTATCATGGCTGGACCTGGCTGCTTCAGCACTGTTGTTATTATTGTTATTAGTGTGTGCCTCGGGCACTAAGCAATTATTTAAAGCGCTCGTAGAGTCACAGAGAGAAAGAGAGAGAGCGAGAAAGGGATAGAAACACTACCTCTCTCACTCTCTCTCCCTCTCTATATATATGGGTCCTCTGGGTAATGCTTCACGTTTGTTGCTGAGATTTCAATTTAAAAACATGAAAGGGGAGCACCCCTCACCGTGCCACAACTTTTCTGTGCCAGCAGGACATGCCACAAACTGGCAGGCTGGCAGGCAGACCCGACGGCCCCCCTCTGTGACGGCGTTGATGGAGTTGCTCTCCTGATTGGGGGCCATTGTCCAGAGATGCTCTCACATATTTATTTACAATTTAAATGCAGAAGCAGGCCACAGTCAAGCTTCCCACCTGTCCACCTGTCGCCGCCTTTGTGTCGTTTTAATTGGGGCAATCAATTGGGCCAACAAAAGGTTAAATGTTTAAACAATTGGGGATATTCCGTAGCACACACACACACACACACTCGTGGCGGTGTGTGGTGTGTCTGCAACTATGCGTGTGGTCGAGGCTTTTGAATGGCATCCAAGAGCGCACAGCGCACGGGATCCAGTGACTCCGGACTAATGTCATTCTCTGGCGGATCCATCGGGTCCCTCGCTGGTCTCAAATGTTTGGTTGGCCAGGGCCAGGCAAAGAGAGTGCTTGGCGTGCCACTCATCTGGCTATGCCAGAACAGCTTGCGGCGCACCGCCTGCATCACGTGACGTTTCCGCTGGCAGTCCAGCTCAGACATGTTGCCCTTGATGGCCATCACATCGTCGATGTTCTCGTAGGGCGTATGATGGTATTTATCGGGGGGCTGTTCAGCATGCAGCTTATCCAGCAGACGTTCAAGCAGCTCCATGCGCCACAGCGTTTCCTCCCAGAGAGCCGTCAGATTGGTGGAGTGCGCCAGGCACTCAATAATTTCCGCGTAATTTGCATCCGTCTTGTGTAGCTTGCTGGCGCATTCGGTGAAACTTTTCTGACTCTCGCTGTAGCTCTGGTTGGAGGCCAGGCCAAGCAGTCCCAGCAGTGGCAGAAACAGCAACATCATCGGTCCAGAGTTGAAGCAAAACTGATATGAGGTTGATGATGGCTGCTCAATGCCTGTTCTATGGCTGCAGTTTTCCCTGAAATTGATTTGTTTCGCCCCAAAAGAAATAAAATGTATGCAGCTGCAACAACCTAAGAATTCTGTGGCCATAAATTTCAGTTTGCACTTGTGCTGATGCCTCCGCAGAGACTGTTGTGGGCAAAACTTTCAGCTCATCCGGCCATGGACCGACCATCCTCTCGAAGAGCGGCACACTTGGGATCATAAATAATCCATACAAATTAACGCAGCCAACCAAAAGCAGCAAAACTCAAGTGAAAAACTGAAGCTCAAGCGAAAAACTGAACCCGAACACGACAGCCGCGAAACCTCTTAACACGTAGAACGTATAGCAGTTTAATCGACAGCCAACGCTTAAAATGCCAGAAGCAGCACAAAATAAGGCACAACAAAAAAGGTGCAAAACAACATTTATTATACCCTTTAGATTGATGGATCTGTGGTATCTACAATTTTGTACATAGAAGAGACTTGGACTTAACATTATTCGTGCTTATAGCTATTGGTCCTGGTCCTGGTCTAGCGAAAATCAGCAGGATCCGTCAAGGAGTAAATAAGAGTAGATTTACGAGGAAGTGCCAGAACTTTTTCCTCTTCTTCTTCTTTTATTTTTTAATTAATTTTTTATTTTTTTAAAATAAATTTCTTTTAATTGAAGTATTTGCTATTCGTATTCCTTCCAAACTACAAACAGTTTTTCCTTTATATATTTTTTTATATGAAAAACATCGCTTAAGTTCCTTTGGTAGCCTGACGAGTTTTGGTTCCGTTGTGGGAGCGCAGCTTCTGGCTTCTTGTTTGGTAAGCAAAATTTATTGTTTGCGGAAGCTGTCTTTAATGGTGCGCGCCCAGCAGCCACGCCTCAAAGCACTTCACCCACCCCCTGAAAACCCTAACACCCCAACATCCTTACAGTCCGCATTTAGTTGACCTTCGGCTGGAAATAATTTCAACTCATTGAGTTTAATGTCCTGTGCCTTCTGGGCGTGTCCCCAGCCATTTGTGGAGCTTCATTTGTTTCTTTTATGGACTGGTGTGTGCGTACAGTGCGTCATAAAACTATAAGGTTAGCGGAATATAAATTGAAATAACATTTGATCAAATAAAGGCATTAAATAAGTTTAAATTTTAGAAATAAAAAGGATATATATTCTACAGTACATAATTTCAACTGTATGAGCTATGAAACGCACTGTACTTTGGCTGTATATGGCCACGTGCTTTTTTTGTCCCTCCAATAATCGCATGATTTATGTGCGACATTGGTCAGGGAACACATTTTCCTCTTTGCTCATAAATATTTTATCTACACAAAATTTGTTTTTATTTTTTTTATACATATTTTCTATATATATTTTTTCGCATATTTGTTTTTGGCTTGCAAATTGTATTTTGATATGGGTATTTGCCCCTTTTCTAGTCTCCTCTTGGGGTTTGGGGCTGGCAGCCTAATGCGTTTATAAAGTGTTAACATTGCGTATGTGTAATATTTAATAGCAGCTGTGCGGATGTCGTCCCCCCCCCCCACACCCTTGCCACGCACCAAGCACCCATCTATCCCCTTGTATATAGTTTATGTGTAAGATTTGATTTATGCTTATGCCACGCCCAGTTTTTATTGCCTCAAAGCCAAGACGGTCATAAAAATGTGGAAGCTCACTCAAGCATTTTGTGAAGCTGCTGCTAAGAAGGTCGTAAATTTAATTGCTGCGATTATTGCCGGGAAATTATCGCAGATCGTAGATAATCACAGAGCTCTATAGATAGCCCGGAAGCTCTGGGAAGACAATAAATTGAGCAAGTTTTATGGCACAAACACTGAAAGTGAAACTTGATTGGCATTACCCAGAGGGTAGTTGACAGTTTAAAGGGAAAATTGTACTTACAAAATTATAGTATCTGTTTAAAAATGGAAAATGGTTTATTTTATGGGAACAGTGTACAGCAAACATTTTTTTAATTAGCTAATTAATTAAACTATTAGCAAATATATTATAAAAAAATATTAATATTAATTTTTACATACAAAATCCTTCAGTTATTATTATTTATTTATTTTTCTATAAATATTCTTATGGCTAAACTATACAAAAAAATGAAGCTGAGCGCAGGAACGTTGAGTTCTCTGCTCGAAAAAAAGCATTTAATAATGTAACCTCATTTATTTAACTCCGAATTTAATTTTAAAGTGCTCACAAATCTCCATCGCTTAAAGATTAAAGATCCATTGGGCCAACTGTTTTAGCCGGCTGCCTATGCCACAGCATTGCCAATTCCCGCCAGCTGCAAGGGCCAATAATTTATGCTAATTCACTTGACTCCCATGCAGCCGGCAGTCAACCACAAATAAAAAAAAAACTCCACAAAATGACAATGAGAATGACTTCCTGTAAACGAGACTTCGTTGCCACAGGCACGTGCCACATGCACACACACACACACACACACAAAACACAGATAGATACACTGGTAAACATTTAATCCAGCTCCTAGTAATTCAGCCAATTGCCATGCAAGTGGCCAACTAATTGCTTGGGCGATTTGGCCAGGCCAAATGAATTTGCATTTTGGTTAACGCACTTAAGTATGCAGTGCGCTCCGCTCTCAGTGTGTGCCATGTGCAAGAGATAGGCTTAGACAGCAGCTAGATAGAGATAGAAAAGAGAGAGCTGACTGGTAGTTCATTTAAGCAGAATTTACACGAAACCTTTTCAAGCCAAGTAAATTTACTGGCTCGAATGCGCTAAAAGTGTCGGTGAAAAACCTATAGTGTAATTGCAGCTATGAAATAAAACAAAACCCGTAGCCGAGCATAATTTATTTAAAGCAAACAGAAATAGGCAAAAGAAAAGTAAAAGTTGCACAAGGATAAAGCCAACAAAAGTCACACGCAGCAAACGCCCAGTGGGGGGTGTGCCATATGCATCTGTGTGTGTGTGTGTTTGTGTGTATGTGTTTACCCATCCATATATATGTATGCCATCTGTGAGTTGGTCTCATTATTATGCTCAACACTTAGCTGGCAATATTTTTAGACCCACGTCGCGACTTTGGCGCCACGCCCACGACCTTCACACACACACAGCAACACCTACACACGGGTCAGTGGAAAATGCAAGCAAGAAAGGGGCGTTTTTTTTGGCCACCATCTACACTCTACTCCACGCCTCACATACGAGTTCTCGTATATGCCGCTGCTCTTCTGCTGAGTAGTCGTCTAAGCGTTTTGTCTAGTTTTGCTCTGTTTCCGTTTCTTTTAGCCATTTCTTATACCCATTGTTCACTTTTTGCATACCCTGTAAACACGGTAAGGAATGGCGGTATGCTCTAGGGAACCACATTGCTTTCTATATATTTCGATATCGATATGTTCAAAAAGCCAACTATAAAGTGTCCTTGAACTACTTTTTTTTTCATTGTTCCTTGGTATTCTTCTAGATAGAAATATTCTCTATGCTTCAGCGTTATCGTAACTACAAAGCTTTGCATTGGAGTTTCAGGTACTACTTAAAGCCCTGTACAGTGGAGGTATCCCCATAGTCGCAGTACCATCAGCAGAATTCGTTTGTATTGTGTGTATTTATATCCGTATAAAGGGGTGTAAAGGGGTATATTGTATTTGTGGTAAAAGTGGATATGTGCAACTCAGAGAAGGTCCGCCTATTTCATTTAATTTTGTGTCATTCTGTAGAACAGAAAATTGTATGATACATTTTGTTTTTATACCTTTTTGTATCAAATATTGTTTTCTGAACAAATTGCAATTGCATATTTGCTGCTTTTGCTTATCATTGTTTAATTTTGATGAATTCCTAAACATAAAACGGATTAAGTGAGCAGCGAAGTGTGCGGGTCTGCCAGTTCTACATAAATGATAAGCTCACAAATTTATATACTGACTGAGTACGGGTATAAAAGTAGAGTCGCGTCCACAGAAGCGACTCACACGTTCCTTCTCGTTTTTTTGGTTGTGGTTGTCGGTCTGGTGTAGTCACTTAAGGATTCATGCTGCACAGCAGCCGCCAGCAAACAGCCAGCACCTTCTTCATATACACCGTCTGTCAGTCAGTAGTCCGTCAGTCAGTGTGTCAGACGCCGTCAGGCATGCTCTGAATTTTCAAATAGCATTCATGAACCTTGAGACAAAGCCAGTTGTGTGATAGCCCTTACATATACAGAACCACCCCCACCCACCACCACCACGGGGCATGCCAGAGGTTGTGTTGTTTAACCATTTATCATGCGCGTATTTATTTGCACTGATTTTATTTTAATTTCATTAAAATTATGTGACAAAACTTAATTGGTTTCCATTGTTCAACGAGAGAGATAGTGTGAGTGTGGGAGAGAGATTTAATCGGTTTGAAAACGAACCGAAAGCGAAGATAGCACCAATCTGTTTGTGTCTGTCTCTGTGGCAAAATAAACAAATTGTTATGGCAAAGTTATCCAATTTCGTGCCACAAAAGGAAATAAATTCCATCCAAACAATTGAAAAAGTTTATGAATCTCTTCCCCCCTCCCATTTGGGGGAGGATTGTCATTTAAATTTGTTGTCAAGCTGCTGCTGCTGCTGCTGCTGATGTTGCACTTTCCATTAACATATTTTATTTTTCAATTATGTATTCTCGTTCAGTTTGTTGCCTACGCATAGGTAATTAGCCTGCAACACTTTGGGGCCTGCCAGTGCATTATAAACAGTTAACTGTAAGCCAGTATGTGACCCCCCGCACCTCACTCTCTTGCCACATTCAAATTGAGTTGCATAACTTGCATGAACCTGTGGCTGTGGGTTTGTGGGGGTTGTGGGTTTGCAGGTGGAATCAAGTCATTCAAATGCAAATTTCACACACACACAGACACACAGAATTGTAATGCCAGCAAAGGACAAATGGAAATGTCAGCTGCAGCAGCAGGCACATGGCCTGACCCTTGCACAAGATTAGA